GTCAGATGACGTTAGAATAGCAGGGTGTGAGTACAAGAGCTAAAAAACCTCTAAATGCTCAAAGTTGATTTTAAACAGTGAGTTAACTTTCAAAGGCAAACATCTGTAAACATCAAGATTTTTCTGACAATACTGAATATCAGCCTCTGTTTTTTTTTTTCCCCAACTTTAACCTGCTTGCTTTTGTAAATATTTCAAAGCTTTGGGTTTTATTTCTAAAAAAGCAATTTCTATGTAGGTAATCATATATCCAGCCTACAGTAGATCAGAGATGAGATGAGATCACAAAAGTTAAGTCTGAGTTTAACCGTTCTCAGGCTCTCTGGACAGATTTTAAGTCATTTTCCTTTTTGGAATTCTGACTTGATGAGGTTGATCAGTGTTATACACTCTGTTGTTGCGCTGTTCTTCTTGCTGAAGACAGTTGTTTTCATTCTGGCTCTATGTTCTGCTGCAAAAATCATTTGTGATCACACAGATGTCTCCCTCATGGGATTTGGTATGGATTCGGAATAATGTTCCTAATTGTTTTAAAGACTTCCACAGAGAGACTGGTTAGTCTATGGCGCACAACCCATCTGACATTTAAACCATCTGTCCTGGAAAAAGTCAAGAATCTGGTGTAAAACTATAAATGGGACAATTTAATTATCCAAACAGACTCAGCTGTTCATATTATGTACTGAAAAAAATGCACTTAATCATAATAGACAGTGAATTTGATGCATTTAATTTTTAAAGTTTCCTTTGCATACGACATCTTTTTGCCTCACAATGTTGAAATGAAATTTTTTTTTAAAAAGTTTCAGAGCTAACAGGTGGGAAAGATTTGGTAACCTGGCTGGTAAGTAGATTTTTTTCCCTTGCTTCTCCAAGTTGCGGCTAAACACTGAGGGGTCTATTGAGGCAGTAATGAGTCATATCCTTCAAACTGCTGTTCTGTATCTCAGACACCTCCTAAAATTCAATTTGCAGTGACCTTCTCACACATACGCATGCATCTGCAGACACACAGGTCTAACCTGTTCACGGCTCTATACTGTACTTCGCACCTCTGGGGGTGTTTTCTGGGGAAACAAATCACGTCAGTTGCCATAGTGAATGTGTCAGTCAAACTTATACAAACACACTCTACAGTTTCTGGCATGTGTTGCAAGCAAGGTGGTCTACACTTTATTGAAGAATAAAGGTAAATCCTGTCAGTCAATGTCAGACTGTCATCTGCCAGAAGAAGTATAAATATTTTCAGTAATAACATGTTATAGAGATATGGAAACAGTACATTTTAAAATGTTTGTTTGAAGGGGGGATAGTTCAGCTGAGGTCGAGTTGCAAAATATGGCTGCCTGGATTTTATTGGAGTTGGCTTGCCCAAGAAAATTAAAGCTCCATGTTTGGCGCTGATATTGCTATTGTCTCATAAACGGATCTTGAGAATGCTTTTCATCAAAGAATTTTTTTAAAAAAAAAAAGAAGAAACAAAAAATATGAACATCCTTGACATTGTGTTGCACTTCACATAACTCTTTGGATTTAAAGAGTTATGTGCATTGATACAGAGCAATTTTAAAGTGGCATGCAAACCTGTCTGTGTGCAAGATCTGTTTTCTAGCTGGGTAAAATAGTCTGTCCTCCATAGTATCACTTTGATCGCCTACTCACTAAATCTCCGACTTTCCACTGAGTCTAGTTTGAAAATTACTTGAAAAAAATTGGCATTTATAAGTTCTGTCTCGTTCCCAAGCGTCGCTTTTTAATGCCTTTATGGCTAATAAATGAATTGATAGTTTCCATACTAGCTAGGTTACAGAAAATACAGAGCAAAATGTAAATGTCTGTATATGAGAGAGAAAGAAACCAGCCAACAGAAGTGCCTCTCAGCAGTAATGTGTGACTTTAGGGTTAAATGGCCAGGCTTGCTGAGTGATTGCCACATTAGCCAAAAGTATGAATAAATCTTCTGTTCAGAAATTTGACTATTTATGGACTCACATGAATTTGATCATGTGTTTTCTTTTAATGGCTTTTTAGGTTTTACTAAATTCTCTGTGGCCGCATTGTTAAGCTCTGCCGATGTTGGAGTGTGGGTGGTATGTTTAATGGTTTCAGATTGGAATAGATTTTATGACAATTTTAGAATTGAATACTGGCCACAATACTATAAATGCATTTTTTTCCATAATAGAATTGATTTATTTCAGCATCAATGCTATAGTTTACTCAAAAATAAGCAGCAGGTCTGCAGAGAAGTTTACGTCTATATACAGACCTATGGAAAATAACGTTTTCAGAGCACTCAAAAAAGAAGTGCACCCTAAGATTTACAATAGCTTGTAGAAACATCCTCAACAACTTGAAATAAACATTTAGGACTTTCAGTCTGTCACATCATTGTGGAGGAATCTTTACCCACATCATTGTTTCAGTTCACTGAGGTTTTCAGACAGGCAAGGCTCCCTTCACATCCAGTATGAGCATTTAGGTCAAATTGAGGTCTGGACTCTGACTCAATCATCGCAGCAGCTTGATTCTTTTCTTTTTCAGTCATTCTGTCATAGATTTGCTGCTGTGCTGTTGCTTTTAGACAGATGGCCTCTTTGGTATAGACAATATAGATAATACTTTCATATTAGAGAAGTTTGTGACCAGCCTGATAACTGCAAGTTGCCCAGGTCCTGTGGCTTCAAAAGAAACCCAAATCTTCACTGTTCCTCCATCGTGCTTGAGAGTTGGTATGAGATGTTTGTGCTGATACACTGTGTTGTTTTTGTTTTGGTTTGGGGTTTTTTGTCAAACATTGGACTGTGCATAGTCAGACATCTCCACTTCGGTGTCATCTGTCCTTTGTCCACTTAACAGACAGCGCAAAAATGGTTTGTTTAAAATCAACTTTGCAAACCTAAGCCAGTGTGTTGTTCTTTTTTAGAAAAAGAAGAAGCTTTCTTCTGGCTATCCTGTCAAACAAGCCACACTGAATGAACTTTAATGCTTAGCATGCTAATTGAAGTCTGAAGAGTTCGTTTGGGTTTTTTTTTTTTTTTGTTAATGTGTCTAAATATTTCATAATCTCATGTTGGGGCGAATTTGCTGGGACGTCCACTCCTGGGAAGATTGTGGCATTATGATAAGACACAACGTTTCAGTTTTTCACACGACTGCTTTAGTCTTTTTTAATGAGTAAAGTTCTTTGAAATGCTGAATATTGTGATGATTATCATGGCATGCAAACCTGAGGTATATACGTCAGCTGAATTTGTCTGAACATGAGGCATGTACCTCACCCTTTTTTATTTATGGCTTTATATCAGTTCCAATATAAATATGCTGCAATTCGATTGCACCACATTCACAGTTACCAAGTCACATCTTTTTCTTATGTCTCACGTTTTAAGTGGATGGGAAAACATGCTTTTCAGTAAAACTTTTGCTTTCTGGTGCTGCCATTCTCAAGTCACCCTACCTGTCAGTGTTTTCATTGCCTATTGTAAAGCAGAGAGTGAAATAACAGTTTGTAGGAACTCAGTGAAAGAAGGGATTTGAGCAGTAATCCTCCTCACTGATCCTTTTTAGAAACAACCGTCTGGCACACAGCCTGGCCCTCGCCATAACACGCCTGCTTTTTGATACCTGAAGGCTGAACTGCAAACTGACACCCACAGTGGCATTTTCTGCTTTTCACATACCTCACATCAGAGACTCTCTGAAGATATTTTCCTCATTCGGTAAAATCGTTGGCTGCTGCAGGTGAGCTCAGGTATTAACCCTGGGGTTAACGCACACTGGATCCTCACATCGTAATATTAATGCTGACATTTTTGAAGAGGTTGGAAAGTGCTCATGTCATGCTATGAGTTATTTTCCTTCACTGTTCAGGTCATGTCAAGCCGAAACAGATATAATTATTTTATTTGATAAAATATGGTGTAAACAAAGACGTCCTTGGTCCAACTTGTACAGATATTCTCATTTTATTTGGTTTTGCCCTAAGCCGATATCCAGTCTCAGCTCAGCCTGTTTTAAACAAATGCTGTCTGTCTTTAGAGAGAACAGCTGCCAAAATATGAGTCTACCCAATTAATTTTTACTCCATAAATCTCCGTCTCTTGAAGTCGAGCCTGGGCTTGGGTTAAGTAGTCATATTTTATCGATGCAGTGATCATTACTATTCGTTATCTTCTGTCTCTTGGCTCTGCAAACAAACACATGGTTTATTTGTCACAATAATAATTATAATAAGAAATTTGGTGTGGCATCTTTAAAGGTATATTTGAAAATACACTTTATTTTAATCTGGATAAGGCTTAAGCCATGACAAGGCTAGAAAGCTTAAAGGTAGACTTTATCTTCATTCTTAATATTTTTGACCCACAGCAAATACCTGCATCTTTATCTTTGTCATTAACCTTTATTGGAGTGAATTTCAAACTTTTTCCACTGCTTGCTTGAGAAATGCATTTAAGTTTGTAGAAGCTTTGATTTATGAGCAGTCTGGCCTTTTTAACACCTAACGTGAAGTGACCTCTTTGTCAAGTGGTTGTTCTGACTGTGGGGGATACTGTATGTAGAAAAGGCCACAGACGCACAGAGTAAGCTGTATACTGTCTCTCTCTGCACACACACACGTGCACACCCTGTTTCTCTCTGTAACCATAAGGCTGGAATGGTTTATAGGGGGGTAATAAAAATGGACGCTGTGTGAAATGAATCCAGTTTAAATTACCGTTTTTTGAGGCTGTGTTTTTCTTAGAGATGAAGAAATAGAAACACCCATGTGTTATGTTTATATAAAGGATTTTTATTTGAGCTTAATTTTCCATCTTTACAGGTGAGATTCTGTACATCCACACCCTTCAGTTCCTAGATGTCTTAAAATGGTGCTGTCCTTGGCATATTTGGCTGTCTGGATTACAAAAAACAAAATGCTAAAATTTAAAGTGCCTTTAAATATGCTTTTGTAAAGTGAAGACTGATTTATTTGTGTTTCGTTTGTGTGCACACAGGGATTGTAGAAGTGTGATCAGCCCTCCCTACCAACAAAAGTTGGCTTACAAGTGCTGGTAAGAGAAAAATCATTCATATCACTAGGATTTTTCTGGAAATACAAAGATTTAAAGCTGGAGTAAACTGTTCTGACTAAAATAACCCACAATGTATCTAGTGTACATGCCTAAAAAGGACGGCAGTAAATGGACACGGTTTCATGTTTGTCTGAAATTCAAAGTTTGCCTAGGGCAACACAAAGATAGTGATAACATGTCCTTCATAAATAGCTCTACATTAAGCTTGACCCAAAACATCTTACTCAAGGTTCACAAGCTCCCTTCTTGTTTACATAATCACTTGCTAGTCTATTAGGAAATTGAATCAAACCAAATATCCAGTGCAGTGGTAACCTCAGCAAGGTTGCTATCAAAAAAGCTTTCTGTCAGGTGGCCCCTGAGGTTCAGATACATTCAGATTTCTGTTTTGGTGAATGTGGCAGGCAGACCTACAAACTGCTGCTGGTAAAAATGGAGAGAGATACGAGTGCGTCTATAGGCTGTCCTGGCCACATACAAGGAGGAATGATTTAGTCTAACTGAATTAGTAGATATGTGAGGATGAATATAAACACTAAACAACTGAAGGTAAAATGGTATTAAGTCAAAACCTTTTTTTTTTTGTGTTGTTCTGGCCACACTACAAGATACAGATGACTTATCTATCACACAAGATGGTGTGAAAGTGTGCAACAAAGGATAAGGAGACCATGTACATAGTTGATTGTTACTGATACTTTATGCTATCAACATATACATGACTGAATTGATATATAAAAATAAAGACCTAAATTAGAAGCAGCTGGTAATGCAACAAAACACGGTAGTCCTGGTTACGTATATACAGTGAAATGAAATTCTCATCTGAAGTCTCTGCCGTTGACCTCTGTTAGCTTCTTGTTTTTATGAATTATATTAATCATGGACCCAGACTGACAAAAATGAACATTCTGTTATAGATAGACTACAAACTCAAAGGCAGTCTGCCACTGTCCTGGTAGATCAGCTGATAGCAGCTGATATCATTGCAAACCCACATCAAGTGGCCGCTTAGCTTATACCCTTCTGTGCAAATCTTGCGTACAAAAGGCAGACTATTTATGTCGCTTAATCCTGCCTACAGTTGCCGCACATGTGCAAGCCTTTTTGCAACCCTGGGTTATTAATGACATATCCGTTGCCAGTGATGCTTGTTGTGTTCTGCGGGAGGTATCTTACTGTTGCCTTCTCTTGCATGTGTTTGGAAGAGCAGAGGGGGACCAGAACAATTCCATGCTGCCAAATATGAACTGTTGTAGATGGAAACGATGATTTAGTCTAACTGAATTAGTAGACATGTGAGGATGAATATAAACAAAACAACTGAAGGCTTTTGACTCTAGTGGTTATGACTGATGTCTAATGCTGTAGATGTCATGTTTCCAAATCCATGTCATGCAGTATTTAAATGTTAAATGTCTAATCAGAGTGCTCAAACTCATTTGATTAGTAGGTTAGCTCCTTTTTAAGGAAGGTGTCGAGCCTTCAGTGGAGTCAGTTGCAGGGCCTGTATTACACAGCAGCCTGGAACCACTGAGTGGGAGACACATGTTTTAGCAGAGCCATTACTGCTGTAACATGAGGAGATGTTTTCATGTGCACACCTACAACCTGACACACTCACAACTGCAGGGACAGAAAAGTGAACCCACATATACACACAGGTGTGCTGGCAACAGCATCTTACACCATAGCAGGGCTCTATCCTGAGGTACACGCTGCAGATTGGAGACACCAGCAA